ATTTGGGTCGCGACCAGAGTCGCAGAACGAATTAAGTTCGTGAACCGAGGTACCACTGTACAGGCAGCACTCTATGCTCCAACTGGGCTGAGACTGCTGTTCTCAGAATTTGGGAAGGTCTGTTTTCAAGACATCTGAAGGATACTATCAAGGAAGCCACCTTTAGCTAACTTTTGTAGGATACACCTTCAAGTATTCCTAACAAGTCAGATTCATTGTTTTTATTTTTTTTAAAGAAATGCTGAGAAAAAAGTAGAGATAGCTGTAATGATTTACACAAATCAAGATTGCATACAAATGAAGAAAAAATCACATTAGGGATAACAATTCCAAAAAGTAAAGCCTGTTTCATCAAGGTCTCTGTATAATTTCCTTTTTTTTAAATGGCTCTGTTGTTTGTAGTTGCATACATTTGCACCAGCTGTTCTACAATTCATGTATTTATCTTACCAATTTATTTAAGCAGTTTAGCATAATCACAGGATCCTATGTGTTCAGAATACTTATCATCGTTCCCTGGGAAATACCACTGCCCCCCTTTTTCCTTTTTTGTTGCTACAATGCAACTTGAAAGGCAATTTCAAACATGGGGTGGGGGGTGGGTGAGTTTAACCCAGAAATGTGTTTTAGTTAATCATTGCTTAGAATGGCCACAAAGCATATGTTCTTCTCATCCAGTTCTACTTGAAAGCAATATGAACATCTAGAAGGTAGAGGTAGAAAAATCAGGGCACCCCCAACCAATTTCAGCATGGTGCGCTTGCTTTGAAAGACAGCCTAATCTTTTCAGGCATTAATCTGCAGAACTTGAGATAATAAATTTCAAATAAAAATGATCAGCCAAAGTTGAATGAGAACAAATGGGTTCACAAATGTATTTTTCCCAATATAAAAAATAAATGAAACAAGGGAATGCTTCACTAAGCTGTAAAGATTGAATAATCTTTGGAAACCGACCATCTAAGATGTGAAAGCTGAAATATTATTTTTACCCCATTCTTTCTAAACTCTTTGCAAACATTAGATATTTTCTGCTTACAACTGATTAAGATCCAACCCAGACAAAAACAAAACAAAATTATGATGGGCCATGGCTACTAAATACATATTATTTAAAATATTCTGGTTATTATATCTAATGTAATGCTTTCATTTGTTTAGAAATGAAATTTGGCTGAAATTTATTTGTTTAATAAGGATCACAAGGAATTCTGCCTAGGAAAAAGCCCCAAATCTGTAACACAGGAGTTACAGAAGCATTTCCTACATGGCACTGAGAAAGAATTACTGTAGTAATTTGTCTCCAGAAGCTAGACCAGGTCCCTGTATAAAACAATTATCAAAGTCTGGGAAGTTCTACATGGGCTACCACTATTCTCTAGCAGACCAGATCCTCATCATGACAACATGGATAACTTTTAAGAAAGTTGGGTCACTTCCAAGAGTAGTATGGCTTTGCTTAAAACAGTTTTAAAATACATACATACTGATGGAGTCTGCTTAGTAGAGTCATCATGGAGTCAGGTGGCATGACTAGGTAGGTAGGTGATGTAGATAGACAGACAGACAGATGATAGATAGAATAAAAAAATAACTGTTAACGGAATCCCATTCCAAACTTGATGAGGTGTTAATGTAGACAGATCTTATTCAAAGTCCTTGGTCTATGAATAAAATTAACTCCAAGGTGATTTGCATTTTTTTGTAAATTGTGTCAGTCCCACTAGATGGACCAGACTAGAAAATCAATTCCACAGGAAGGCTAAAACTCTTTTTATTGAGATTGACTATAATAATCCCCACTAAAATCATCTTCCTTACTTTCTACAATTGGCAGAAAAGTTGGAAATGACCTGATTTCTCCCCCAGCTGTGCATCAGGCAACAATAATGCTTGCCCCCTGACCTTAATTGGGATACCAATGTCATCTCAGCCATTCAAATTATGTCCCAATTAGCCTCACTAATTGAGTTGTTTATATTTGTCACAATGTGTGAACAGCACTT